CGGCAGGCGCGGGCTTCCGGGTCGGGCGGCGGCGTGGCGGCAGCAGCTGGCGGCGGCGACGCGAGTTGTGGGCGGCGGCGTGAAGGGGCTGCACCGGAGGTGGTGCGCGGAGGGCTCCGGCGGCGGCGTTCGGCCAGATCTGGGACCTGCCGGCGAGGGCCGCGGATGGCGTGGGCTGCGGGCGTCCGCCCCTACCATGGCCTCGGCTGGTGGTGGTGGAGGCGCAGCGGCGGTGGCCGGTGGGCGTGCTGGTCGGGATTCAGTCGTCCCGCCGGCTGGACGACGACGGCAGGGCAGATGGGCTCCCCGGTGAGTATTCTTGGCGTTCGGCGGCTGTACTTGGGGTCCCTCTTGCCGGTGGTCGAGTCTGCGTCGGTGGCCTTGCGCCGTGCTGCGTCGGCCGCCGAGGTGGGGCGGCACAGGGGTGTGTCCGGTGGGGAGGCTGGCTGGAGGGATGGATGGCGCCGACTTGCTCGGGTCCCCGTCACTGGCACAGGGGTGTGCCGGTCCGGATGCGTCCGCTCCCCCACCTCCCCCTTTCCCCGGCCGCGTGTTGGCTGTTGCAGCTCCGGTGATGTTCAAGGCAGGATGGATGCTGCGGTTCGTCGGTCAGTGGTGTTCCTTTGGTGCAAAGTTGATCTCTTTGGATGGTCTTGGGGGTGTCTGGATGTTGGGCGGCGGCCCTGGCGGCGGGAGGCGTGGCGTTCGGGGGCGGAACCTGCGTCTCAGGTGCGGACGAGCAGCCATGGTTTCGCGGGGGACGTGGCTGCGGGTGGTTGGCGGAGCAAGGGTGTGTCGGCGGGGTGCGAGCACCGGGGTTCATCACTTGCCCAGTTTCTGGCCGTCGGTGGCGGCGTCCGTGGACGTCGTATCCTTCTTGAAGGCTCCGTCGCGGTGCTCCCACCCCCTGCGTCGCTCCGGGTGAAAACTTGATCTGCGGATCGGACGGTGGCGGCTATTCGTGGTCGTACCCTTCTGGTAGGCACCGTCTTGGAGTCCTTGCTTCGTCATGGTCCATCTCACCCCCTCGGTGGCTCCAAGTGGTTCTTCGTAGCTCATATTATGTTTGCTTGGTTGTGTCCGGGTGGTGTGATGGTGCTCGGCACCTTTGTATCTAGCCTTGGGTGTGTTCGGTGTGTGTCGTGGTGGCGTGTGTTTGTTTGGCTCGCTCAGATGTATGTGATGTTGTTTGCTTTATAAATATAAAGCGGGGGGAAACCCTTTTTCGGTAAACCTATCCGAGAAGTGCATTGTCTAGTACATTTTTGGGATAAGAGAAGTGCAACTTACAGCGAAGGCAACCATGGCGGTGGCGAGCGCGAGGAAGCCGTACTTGGCCATGCCCTCGGAGAGGCCGACGAAGGTGCTGGCGATGCCGAACATGACCCGCCAGAGCGCGATGCAGACGATGACGCCGCCGGCGCCGACGAGCAGCAGGTAGTTGCGCCGCCAGAAGGCCTCGACCTGCAGCCCCACGGCCTCCCGGTACCGCGCCGCGGCGTTCTTGGCCACCTCCACCGGCCGCCCCAGCCCCTTCACCCCCTGCCCGAGCGGCGCGAGCTTCGCCCCCCCGCCGCCGCTCGCGAACTGCCTGACCCCGCCCACGAGCCGCTGCGTCGCCTTGTGCTGCTGCGGCAGGGCCGGAAGGCCGGGCCGCGGCGGCCTCGCCTCGGGCCGCGCGGTGGTGAAGAAGGGGGAGGGGGAGGGGGCGGGAGGGGCGGGGAAGTGGCGGGGGATGGGGGTGGGAGGGGCGCGGGCGGAGGGGAAGGGGGTGGGGGTGGAGCGGAGGAGGAGGTGGCGGTG